GGTAGCAGCGGTGAATCTTCAGCAAGACCAACTTCATCCAACACTACTACTGATACAAACCTGTCTGGGTTCTTGTCCTTTTGGAGGTTTGAACACTGTCGAAACGTTTCCGTGATCCCTTCGGGTTTGGACAGAGGACTGCACTGGTGAGCTAGCATTTGTACCTGACATAAACAAAGCCAACGCTTACATAAAGCTTTAATTAATAATGGTTCTCGTACAGTAGGCTGGGGCCAGTTGAACGAAGAGTGGATCTATATCACCGGAGAAGGATTTATCGTATGGATAAAGCTATATATCCTTTCATCCTTCGTACAACTCGTTTTTTCTTGGTATCTATTGTATATTTCTTTTTCTGAATAAAAGTCTTGGTAATTGTTAATTAGGCAATTGATCTGATATATTTAAGCAATAGTCATGCATAGTATGACATGATGTCATTGTAGTTTAAAGGGAATTCTTTATGAAATGCTACCATACTGCCAACTTTATGCCATACTCACATATACCACTGGATGTAAATGATTTTCCATTAAATTTACATCATTTTGGACACTTACATCAATATTTACATCAAATTTAAAACCTTTAAAGCGCGCGATTTGTTTCCAGTGATACAATGTAGTTGTTCCTTATAGATGCTACTCTTTTACCTCTTTAAAAGACTTAAAAAGYTCCGACTTTGATCCAGCGCCTTGCATGTTGGCATCCACGACCGTCTTTGCCAGGGATTTTGAACTTCCAGGTTTACCGATAACAAAGAGAGGGATACGTAGCTCAATACAGACCACCATCATGAAGACATTCTCACWCAGGGCAGTGTTGCGTGCGATGTTAGGACCAAGATCAAGTTCTTGTAACACGGCCTTCTGACAGCTGTCAATCAAAAGGTTTTGATAGCATTTTATCAAAATCATCTATTTTTTTTTGCATTATAACATTTCAATTTAAACTATATCATTCCAGCATACCGTGTTATTTCTTGCAGTATTCTGTCKGSTCCACCGTGTAAGGTACATGGGCGCCTGAAGGCCCTTGCTACTTGTTCACGGTACTGTCCTCTTTCTTGTAGCTTTGCATGATAACAGACACCAATGGCAAGAATAAGAGACCAAGTAACGGGATCAATTTGCTGTAAAGATGAATAACGACAATAAGCATAAAGTATTTTCTTGGATTAAACTTTATGATAACGATAAATGCACCATGCACCAGTTATGAGACAAGAAGCTATTTTTCCAAGAAAATATGGTCAACTATACAGAAGATTAAATACCTTTGTCGCGTCAAATTCAGGGTCAGMGTTGATATCAGCAAGAGGTTCTTCAACATTGACCTTATCATCATCACCATCATCATCATCATCATCTTGAGGGTTACAAACGAATGGGCCTGGTTCTTTACTAATTTTTGGTTGAAAAAATTCTTGAAACCGATGACTTGAAAATGCAGACGTTGTTTCTTCTTCCACATCAACTTGATTTCCAGGAAAAAGTCCTGATGTGGATGGCATTGCCATTTCCTCCTCTCTAAGAATATCCTCCTCCAAAGTTTCGTTTACTTSAGATTCAGTATCGGCCTTGAAATAACATGGTAACTCAGTTTTGCCGTCGTTTCTGTCTTCGTTGTCTGACTGATAAGTGTTGGGTTCATTTGGCTGCAATGGTTCTTCCTGGTTCAATATGTTCCGCAGACGTGGTTCAAAGACGTTTCGATGATTATAGAACCAAAGTAACACATTCATTGTRCGCTCCACATCGCGAAGACTTACAAAGCTACACTCGTCCTAAGTGAAATAAAAGAAAATTTACTGTCACAATAGCAATTTTCTTCCTAAGAAATTTATCGTAAATATTAGTTTTTGTGTTGACTTTTAGCTTGGTCTTCTTCAATTTTGACATAAGAATCAATACACAGATATTAAACGACTCGAGAAATACAAAACCTTGATAGTAGGTCTAACCGTGTTAATATAAAAAGAATCCCAGAATATATTTTTCATCTAGGAGAGATATTTTCTAACCTTTTGTTCTCTCATAAACCGTTGAGATTCAGCSARAACTKCAGTAATAGCATCAACCAGACGYTCGTCACCAGGGATACCATTCCCTTCTTGGGTTACCTTGAYGTTAAGRTGTATTTAGTCAAAAGATACTCATGAAAATTAATGAAAATGCAGCAAGAAATGAAGAAGGATGYACAAAATTAATTAAGGAAAATGTGACGAGGTAGGGGAGTAGGCAAGGTTGAAAAGATCGAAATACGAATATTTTTTTAAAGATAAGATAGCAAATTTTAAATATGGATTTTATAGCTTTGGTGGATAATATCCTGAGGTATCCATAATTCATGATATCGCGGTAATCCCTATCCAATAATTGCTTCATATCTGCACTAAGAAATGTTCTTACATGTCTCCTGACTATCTGTCTTGTGTACAAYATTTCGATTTCAGGTTTCAGTTGACCAAAGTCCCAGATCATTAAACGCATGCTCTCTGGTAGGGCGTGAACACGGTAAACAAGATGGCGTAGAGGAACACGACCTGTAACATCAAAAATATACACCATCACTAAGAATGTATGAAAGTTGAATCGTCAGTTATAGTTTACCAATCCTGTCTTTGATTTCTTCTGTTTTAACGTTATAACCAAGTCCGGCGGACTCGAGTTTCTTGATCATTGTCTCTGTATGCCTAGAGAAAAGATAAGAGCGTTTGAGTCACTCCTCAGTAGCTGACAGTTGTTCTGGCAAAGTGTTGATAGCGCTATCAACTGGATAAA